TGACCCACAGTTTGGGGACAGGGTGACGTGCCGTCTGGAGGACGCCTTCCCTCCGCAGGGCTCATGGCCGCCTCGCACCAGACACCGGCATCTTCCCATGAGTGTCTACCCCCCCATGGCCCCACAAGTCCCAGGCACCCCCACTGCCGGTTCCGGGGGGCTCTCGCCGGCCACCTCAGTGCCTGGACTTGGCTGCAGCTCAGTCTCACCAGGCCAAGGAGCAGTGTCCTTGGGCCTCGACCTCGTGCAGAGGGTTGAGTTTGCCTTGCACATACCCGACCTGGGTTGATCCTCAGCACCCATGGGGTCCCCTGAGCACCGCCAGGAGTGGGAGCGCCCTGGGTGTCATCCAAAAAGCAAACAAAGCTTTTTCCTTTTTGAGTCATCCTTGTTCGGGCAGTGCCGGGAATGGAACCTCATGCTCGGGCTCTGTGGTTTGGTGGAGCTGGGCGCTTGCGTGAGGCCCGGCCCAGCCCTGGGCTGGGGACCCTGGCACTGACCACGTGGCCTCAGCCATTGTCTCAGCCAGGACAGCTGCAGCGCGCTGACCTCCACGTGGGCCGTGGGGCCCTGCGGCCAGGACGCCCCCTGCTCAGTGGCATCAGACCCCGATCCCTGAGGTCTTCTTAATGTCATGCTACGCCTTGGCTGACGGCCCAGCCTGGGCGGCGTCACGGGCGTGGGAGGAGGGACTGGCCGGGCCCCTTCCCCAGCCTCAGCCCCCCGGGAGCCCGCTGACCCGGCGCCGCGTGTTTGGGATGGCTGGGCCCCGAGTCACCGTGCGCCCCGCGCCAAGTGCTGCCGCAGCCTCCCCTCGGTGGCCAGGACCCCGACACAGCGGGCGCTCTGGGGAGAGGGACCTGGCACCCGTGGAGGCCGCCCACGGGGACAGAGGTGCTGGCCAGCCCGGGCTCCCTGGCTGCCCCCAGACGGCCATGTCAGACCTCCCTGAGTGGACATGCCCTTGTTTCTGCCCTTGGGAGACAGGCCCTCAGCACAGGCCACCGCTCAGTTCCAGAGTGCCCAGCGAGACCCCAAGGCCAGGCCCCATCTAGCGCGTGGGACCCCTGGAGAGAGTCCTGGCCAGGCGCCACCCTCCCTTTGGGGGTGCTGCCATGGGAAACGGCGGCAAAGATTGGGGTGTGCCTCAGGGTGCTGGGCAGGGGATGCTTCCCTGAACCTGGTCCTCCCCTCCCAGGAGAAAGCGTGGCCCAGGTCATGGAATGCTGCCCGGGACCAGCCCCTGGCTGCCCTTCGGCACCGGACACAGCGGGGAGGCCGGGCACTGTGGCACACAGGATTCGTCCCGGCCCCGATGAGGCTCTGCTGGTCCCCTCACTGCTTGCTGTGGCCTCCTGGACAGGCGGGGACGTCTGCAGGGGCATTGTGGGGCGGATCCCCAGGGACAGAGGCCGAGTCTGGGTCGCAGAGAGGCTGGTCACACGTGAACACACGTGAGCTGAGGGCCCACCGCCTCTGTCCCTGCTGGGTTCTCTCTGGACACGGTGCGGTGGGCCGCGGGTCTCTGGGCATGAGAGGCGGCGTCCCTGGCGGCAGCAGCAGTGGCGCGGGCGGGCGGAAACAACCGTGGCTTTGATTTCCTTCCTCGGGGAGGAGCGGTGATGCGTTTAGCAGGAGGCGCCCGCGCGGGCGGGGGCAGAGCAGGGCCGGGCCGAGGGAAACACCTTCCTGCACAACCCTCCCCCCCACCCCAGTTCAGGGCCTCCAGGGCCTTGCCCACCCTGGCTTCAACAGTCAGGGACTTTGAGCATCTGGGCGGGGGCCAGGCATGCCTCTAAGGGGCCCTGCCAAGAGGGGAGCTGCCCCCACCCCCCCACCATCTTCCTAAGAGGGGGCCCGGGGAGCTGCCCCGCCCTGCCAGGTCCTCGGGTCCTCAGCTTCCTCCCCCAGAGGACACCCTGGCCCCCTGCCTTGACTGTACGCCCCACGCAGTGCCCTCTCTGCGCCCCAGGGCGGTGTAGGGGGCACATGCTCAGTGACTGAACCTTGGGGCAGTGCCTGGCATGGCCTGGAGGAGCACCCGGGAGGACTTCATGGAGGAGGTGTCTGAACTCCAGGGACAGACCGGGGTAGGGGAGCTTGTGGGCTCTGCCATGCTCAGCTCCTGGTCTCTGAAACCTGGTGGCGTCAGGGGCCTGTGAGGGCCGGGCCCAGCACCCGGGAGCCTTGGCATGTGGGGGGGGCGGCACTGGGCCTGGCGCCCGCCCTTCTGCTGACACACAGACATTCCCGGCAGCGCGCATCGGGAACGCGTTTCCCAAACCACTTCCAGACCCCGCAGCCGCCACGCGGGGGGAGGCACCGTCTGGGTTGCTCCTGGCCAGCCCCATGTGGGTGGAGCCCTGCGCCAGCGCACCCCCAGACCTGCCCCCACCCTGAACCAGCTCTGGAGACCTGCACGCAGCCCTCAGGTGGGGAGGGCACTGCACAGAGTAGCTCCCTCGGCCACCGTTGAGTGTGTGTGTGTGTGTGAGCACGCAAGAGAGAGTCGTGCATGTGGGAGTATGTGTGGGAATGAATGTGTGTTTGTGTCTGTGTATGTGAATATGTGTATGTGAGTGTGTGTAGAGAGTATTGTGTGGGTTTTTTGGGCCACACCCGGCGATGCTTGGGGGTTACTCCTGGCTCTGCACTCAGGGATTGCTCCCAGCAGTGCTTGGGGGACCCTCTGAGGTGCTGGGAACTGAATCTGGGTTGGCTGCATGCAAGGCAGTTGCACTGTTCACTGCTGTCGCTGTGGCCCCTGAACATGTGTTTTTAACTATGTGTGTGTGTATGTGAGTGAGAGGAAGTGGGAGTGTGTGTGAGAGACTGCATGTGTGAAAATGTGTGTTACTGTGTGTAACTACATGTGTGAGAGTGATTGCATGTAATTGCATGTGTGAGATGTGTGAGTGTGTGTATGCAAGTGTGTAACTGCAAGTGAGTATGTAAGTGCATTATGTGTGACCGTTGTATAACTGCATATGTGTAACTGCATGTGTGAGAGTGTGATTGCATGTGTGTAACTGTGTGGGAGTAATTGTGAGTGTGTAGCTGCATGTGTGTGACTGCATATGTATAACTCCATGTGTGGTAGTTAGATTGCATGTGTGTAAGTGACTGCATGTGTATGACTGTGTATGTGAATGTGTAACTGCATGTGTGATTGAATGTATGTATGTGTGATTGCACATGTATGTAACTGCATGTATGACTGAGTGTATGTATGTGTGTAACTGCATGTGAGTGACTGCATATGCGTGTGACTGCGTGTGTAACTTCATGTGTGTGACTGCATTTGTGAGTGTGTAACTACATGTGTGAGAGAGTGACTGCATGTGTGTGTATGACTGTATGTGTATGTGATTTTGTGTTTGAGTGATGGGTGTGGGGGCTGCAGGTGAGAAGGGGCAGGAAGGCCGGGTGGTAGGAGGGGGCAGTGGGGGGTGCAGAGAGGGACCGTGGGTGTCCAGGGCTGCTGTCTGTGTCTGATTGGCTGGAGGTCAAGGGGTTCCATGGAGCTGGGCTCTGGGCTACGTGGCCCCAGGGTGCCCCTCTTGCAGGCCAGTTTCCCATCAGTGCTGGCCTGGGGCCCCTTGCCTGACTGGGGGTTCCAGGCCGCCCTTCACACGCCCTCTGCCACCTTTACTGAGGGTGGGAGGGTGCGGCATCTGCTCCTGAGGGCCACTACCCCCGACCTGCAGGGTCTCATGAGGACCCTTTGGGGTGCTGATGGCCCCCATGACCCGGCAGGACCCTGGGACGCTTCCTAGGAGCTGCGTGTGGGCACAGCTTTGAGGCGCCTCCTTTGTCCAGGCTTGTCAGGAAGCATTTGGGTGAGTCTCTTGGGGGGCTGCTCTGGGCACGAGACCCCCTGGCACCCTCCTGGCCTGGGAGCTGTTTGTCCCTTCCGGCGGCCAAGGACCCCCTCCGCTGCCCCACAAGGTGCTTTGCACCTCCTGTCCCTGGCTGCCCTCTGGGCCTGGGATCTCCCCATCAGCAGAGCCCTGGGGCAGCGGGTGCAGGGGCATGGCTGGGGTCCTGGCTACTCTCCAGAGCAGGGACAGCCCCCAGGGCAGACCCAGAGCAGCTGCCAAGGGCAGGGGCAGACGGAGTATGGGGCGCCAGCGTCCCCGGCCACACAGACCCGCTGGCTTTCGGGTCCCTCCCGGCAGGTCCATGTGTCCCCCCACCCCATCCTGCAGGGGGGTGTAAGCCCCTGGGGCACGGCCTGGGTGCCATCCCTTGTCACAGATGAGACTGTGTTCGGCTGGCGGGTACAGAAATGGAATCCAGGTTCAGGGGCTCCCAGCGGTGAGCCTGCCTGTCAGACCCTCCAGGCCTCCAACAGACAAGGCCCCCAGGAACCCTGCCAGCCGGGGGCACTGGGGTGGGACTCTGCTGGATGTTGGCCGCTGCCTTGTGTCCAAGAGCTGGCCCCCAGGCTGGCCCCTCTGCTGGGGGTGGAGGGGCGTCAGGAGGGGGGGCCTGGACTCGGGGAGGGTGCCTGTGGGGTGCACGGCCACGCTTCGCACTGCCCGCTGCCACCTGCCGTGTGTGCCCTTTCCGGGTCAGGTGCCCGCCAGGTCCCCAAGGGCGGCCGGCGGGGGATGCGGGGGCTCCGCCCGGTTCCTCCCCCACGTCCCCTCTCCTCCGGTCGTGCAAGGGCTGCGCCCGGGCCAGCAGACTTGGCGGCGGGTCCGTGGCCGGCTGCTGGAGGCGCGGCCCGCCTTTCTTTTGTGCCTGTCCAGGAAGCGCGTCCGGCGGGGGCCACGCGCTTGCGTGTCAGGGGCGCGCGGGCCCGCGTGTGCGTGCGGGCGCGCGTTCGCGCGTGGGTCCGTGGCCGAGTCCGGGCGGGGGGCGCGCGCGCGGGCGCGCGCAGGCATGCGCGGCGCGGGTGGGCGGCGCGCGGCCGGGGGCCCGGCGGGCCGGGGGCGGGGCGGGGCGGGGGGCGGGCCCGGGGCGCCCCGGGTCCGGCCTTTACCTGGGGGGGCGGGGAGCGCGCGGCGGCGGTGGCCATGCAGGCGGCCGGGGCGCGCGGACTGGCGGCGCTCTGCTGCCTGGGGCTGCTGGGCACCGTGGCGCGCGTCGCGGCCACGCACTACCGCTTCCTCTGGAGGGGCTGCTACCCGTGCCACCTGGGCCGGGCCGGCTACCCCGTGGGCGCCGGCGAGCCGAGGCCAGGTGGGCGCGGGCCGGGCGGGCGGCTCTCCTTTTGTTCCCGCGGTTCGAAGTTGGCGCCCGGCGCGAAGGGCGCGCGGGCGGGGGGCGGCGGGGCCGGGATGCGGCCGGGCGCGCTGGGCAGCGGGAGGCCGGTCCTGCGGGGTGGGGGGCGGCCGTGAGCCCAGGCAGGTGCCCCCCTCCGGCTGGCCCCGGCCCCCAGGGCTCCCAGGCCCGGGGAGCCCGCGCCCCCCCTCCCCACCCGGCCGCTTCCTCCAGGATGCTCAGGAGGCTGGCGGGACCCCGCTGGCAGCATCCTCAGGAATGCGAGGTGGGTGTGGGGTGCGGCGGGGCTGACTCATCTTCCCGTTCACCCTGGGGCCGCGGCTCGCCCCTCCGGGTCTCCGGCCCCCCCCTCGTCCTCCGGATCCCCCCGCACTCCTGGAGGCTAGCCGTGGGGGGCACCTGGTCTCCCCTGAGCCACTGGCTCTGCCGGGCTGCCCGAGGCACTGTCCGGCCCTCCTGTTCCCCCAGCTCTGCCCCTCAGCAGGGGGCAGGCTCTGAGCCCAGTGGGCGCAGAGCCCACCCCCCGTGGTTCAGCCGTCCAGACGGCTGGGCCGCCGAGGCCCCGGCCCTGCCCTGCTCTGCGCCCACAGCGGCGGCTCCTGTGGCTCGTGGGGGCCCTGGGGCCGGGGGAGGCACAAGGCAGTTTGGGGGACAGGCTCTAGTTTCTCTGGTGCCGCCGAGACTGCGGGGTCCCCCCCCCAACAGAGACACTGTACGCCCTGCGTCTGTGCGTGGAGAGCCCCCGTCCAGCTGCTCGGACCCACCTCTGTGGGCACCCTGTGCTCCCTGGCATGAGGTGCGGGTGGAGCTGGGGTGTCGTGGACTGGAGGGAGCCCGCGCCCCTCAAGCGTCAAGGTGGGGGCTGCCGACCGGTGCTCCTGACCCGCCTCTTCCAGAAACCCATCTCCCCCCTTTCTGACCCACAGCGGCCCTGGGGTGCGGGGCTGTGTCCTGATGGGGGAGGAGGGCTAGCCAGCCCCTCCTGGTTTTGCAGCTGGGGGTCCTTGGCCACACGGGGGTGTGGACTGCAGGAGCTGCACAGACGTGGCCCAGATGGCCTGAGTGGCCGCACGGGGGGACTGCAGCCGCCCTGGAACAGCCGTGGAACAGCCGCCCCACGAGCCAAGTTCTGCTCCTGCAGAGAGGGCCAGATGGTGCAGGGTCTAAGGCCTGGGGAACTGCAGCCCCCCACCCTGCTGTCTGACCTGGGGGGCGCGGCCTAGACCCGAGGGGCTGCTGCCAGTGGGGGTGTTGGCTGTGAGGACGGCCGGCTTCCGCCCAGTGGATCCCCAACCTTGGTTCCAGCTGGACTCGGCATGTCCCTCAGGTCATCTGCCCAGCCTCCCCACCAGACTAGGACCCACAGGAGCCTGGAGCAGGGCACAGAGGTCCCAGACGGGTGGGCAGGGACTGTTCCTGAGGACACTCCGGGGGTGATCACGCCGTGGCCTGGGGTCCAGCCCACTCCCAGCTTGGCTCCTGGGGTGTCTCCGGGGCCTGAGGGCTGCCCTTCTGCATCCGGTTAGCACTACCCAGTACCCGGAGAGTCCATGGTGGGCACAGGTGGTCCCTCGGACGGCTACATGCACCTCCCGGGCTTGCCACTTCCCAGAGAGCCACGGGGTTCCCCACCTCCTGTCAGACCACACTCTCACATGTGTCTGTCCTGGGGCGTCAGGGCCGACAGAACTGAGACCCTAAAGTCTCGGGGAGCCTCTGCCGTGCTTCGTCTCGCTGGTTCTGGGTCCCCTCCCTCCCCGGGTGTCTCCCTGAGGCCTGGTCACTGTGGGGGGAATATCTCTATCCTTGGGCGTTCTGGTCACTGGGGCCCGGACCTGGCGTCCAGCTTGTGCCTAGTCTCGCTGCCCAGCTCACCCTGTCCCTGCTGCACGTGGTGGGGGGACGCTGCTCCTCCAGCCCCGTCAGCGGGTGTTCCAGGGGTCAGCTCTCCCTTAGCTGGACCCACCTGACCATGGCGCGGGGTTTGCTTTCTGAGTGTGAGCTCCAAGTCCAGTGTGAAGGGCCCCGGGGGCAGCTGCACCCCGTACCCCATCAGGGGGTGCCTCAGATGCTCCGGCCCCACAGGCGTGGGGAGGGTTGGGGTGCTGCAGGCGTGGGGAGGGGGCTTGGGGGTGCTGCAGGTGTGGGGAGGGTTTTGAGGTGATGCAGGCATGGGCAGGACTTGGGGGTGTGGCTGGCATGAGCAGGGGTTTGGGCTGTTGTAGGCGTGGGGAGGGGTTTGAGGTGCGGCGGGCCTGGGCAGAGCTTTGGAGTGCTGTGGGCTTGAAAGACTTGAGTTGTTGTAGGCATGGGGAGGGGTTTGGGGTGCGCCAGACATGGGTGGAGTGTGGGTTGCAGGTGTGGGGCTGGGGGTTCTGCAGACTTGGAGGAAGTGTTTTATGGGGCGCAGACCTGGCAGCAGGGGAGAAGGGGAGGAGAGAGGCCTGGGAGGCTCAGGGCTGCAGAGGGCTGCGGGGTGCAGAGGCTGAGGTGGGATTTCTGGGCGGGGAGGGGTCTGGGTCCCTGGAACAGCCAGGTGGGTGCTGACCGTGACCCCTGTGTCCCCTTGCAGACGTGGACGAGTGTCGCCTGCGCAACGGGGGCTGCCAGCAGCGCTGCGTGAACACGCCCGGCTCATACCTGTGCGAGTGCAGCGCTGGCTTCCGGCTCCACGCGGATGGGAGGAGCTGCCTTGGTGAGCCCCGCCCACACTGAGCCTGGCCCCGCCCCTACCCGCCCACACCAAAACCTGGCCCCGCCCACATGGAGCCTGGCCCCAAACTTGGCCCACCTCCACCAGGTCTGGCCCCGCCCACACTGAGACTGGCCCCGCCCACACCGATCCTGGCCCTGCCCCCATCCACCCACACCAAATCTGGCCTGCCCGGTCCCACCTCCACTGGGTCTGGCCACGCCCACACGGAGCCTGTTCCCCCCTCGGCCCCACCCTCACGGAGCCTGGCCCCACCCACACCGAGCCTGGCCCCGCCTCGACCCCACCCTCACTGTGCCTGGCCCCGCCCACACAGACACTGGCCCCGCCCCATCTGCGCTCACGTCCTAGCCGTGCCCCACCCCATCTCTCCTGCACACCTCCTCATACCCCCAGTCCAGCTGCTCCGTGTCCCCCAGTACATCCTGCCTCGGGAGCCTCTCTCCCTTGAGCTGGGAGATCCTGGCCCGGGGGGCTGCTGTAATTTTGGAAGGCTTTGTGGGCCACATGGTGTGACCCCTCAGCAGCCACCTCTGCGGGGTTAAGGGGGTTCCAGTAAGTTAGGGGGCGCCCAGGCATGCTACGCTCTCCATCAAGGAACCCCCACAGATCTTGCTCCCGCCGTGGCCAGCACTCCTGTGCGAGTGGAGCACCGGCTTCCCCCTGGGGAGGGGAGAAGTGGGGTGGAGATCCCGGGACCCCCAGGGTGCAGGGCAGAGTGCCAGGCCTGCCCCAGGGGCTGGGGATACAGGCCGGCCCCTCCCTGTTTGTCTGGGCGCCGGTGGCCCCCTCATCCCACCCGTGCTGAGCGCTGGCCGGCGCCTCCCTCCCGCTCTTCTGCGCTGTGGCGGGGCGTCCTGCCAGCCCCGGGGGGCCAGCGCCGCACACATGTCCAGGCGCCGCCCGGGAAGCGTCTCTGGTCAGAAAGTGGGAGCAGATGCAGGAATGTGGGCTGTGCTTCAGTGCGGGCGCGTGTGGGGCTGGGGGCCTTCTGGAACCCCGGATTCCTGCCCCCCCAGACCAGCCCCATGTGCTTGGGGGACCAGGGTTCCGGTGGCAGTGCTGGTGTGTGTGTGTGTGTGTGTGTGTGTGTGAGTGGTACGTGTACACGTGTGAGTGAAAGTGTGTGTGCGGCTGTGGATGGTGAATGAGTGTGTGACTGCATATGTGTGTGTGACTGCAAATGTGTTTCAGTGTGTGCATGTGTGACTGTGTGTGTGATGTTGGAGATTGGACCTGGTGTGTGCCCCGTGGCCCCAGCAGCAGGCACAGGCTCATGTGGGACTCTGGGATTTGAGCTCACAACTGCATGCTCGCAGACTGCTAGCCCTGCAGTCCTCCCCCCATTGATCTGACCCCAGGAGCCCAGATGCCCGGCAGATGCTGCTAGTGCCTCCCCTCCGACGGTCCTACTCTGTGCCCCAGACCCAGGGGTCCCAGACTGCCGTCATTGTCCACTGCTGTCTGCCCAGGACCGGTCACTCACTCTTTGGGGCTTGCATGGTGCTTCTTCCCACATGCAACCGCCTGCTGTGACCCCAGTACCTGCAGGTCCCAGAGTGGCCCCTTGGGGTATCTAGTTGGCCCTGAGTGCTTGGGGGTCGGGTGAGGCTTGTCCTCCAGGAGGTCCTGCCCCCAGGGCTCTAGAGCAGTGGGCTCTCCTGGGCTGCTCACAAGCAGTGAGGGGAGCCCCCCGCCTCTCTACTGCCTGCTGGGTGGGGTGCATTGGGGTGGGTCCCGGGGGTTTCCATTGGCCTGGACACTGTCTCATCTGTGGACCCCAAGCGTGGGGCAGGTGTGGGGCTCCAGTCCCAGGTGAAGACTGTGGGGTACAGTGGCTCTCTCTGAGCCCAGAGCTCCCCGCTCCCATCCTCACAGATGGTTCTGGAAGGCGCGGCTCGGGGCCCACAGCTGGGTGGCAGGCGTGCAGATGTGGCACAGCTGTGGGGGCTCCTGGACCCTGGGGAGCCAAGAGCTCTCCCAGGCTTTGTCGGGCGGTGGGGGAGGGGGCACCCCAGCACTGTCGCAGCGGGGGTCGGGTAGAGAGAAGCTGGGAGCTGGGCGGAGAGGGGGCCTGAGGCACATGGGGTGAGTCTGGGCTGAAGGCGGCACCGCCCAGGGCCCAGACAGGCCACGGGCACGTGCCAGCCCCTGTGGGAGCCCGGGAGCCCCGGGAGCCGCTCCTGCTTGGCTGTGGCGTTCAGGAGGCAGGCGGGGTGGCCCGGAGAATGGTGCGTGGGTGGGGCCCTGCAGGGGGCCCAGCCGCACCCGGACATGCACAGAAGGCTCTGGGCACAGTGCTCCTCCCTCACCCACTCCCCAGCTCAGGACTCTGGACACAGTGCTCACCCAGCTGTGGATTGCTGTGTGTATGGGGGTGCAACCACCTGTCACTGTCCCCGGCAGAGGCCCTGAGTGACCGGGACTGAGCAGCCTGGTGCTCAGTACAAAGTCTCCAATGCACCGGCTGGGACTGAGGGCTGTGCAGGGTGGGCTGGCCCTGGGCTGAGCTTGGGGGCCCTTCTGCAGCCTGCCCTCCCCGTGCTGTGCCCTGCTGCTCACCCTCCTGGGCAGGCAGGACAAGCTTTTCACCACTCTCCTAGCCACAACCTAGTTCTCTGGAGGTCGGGATTATGCCGTAATGCCCCTAAGCCAAACAGCCAAGCAGGCAAGTACTCCTGGAGGGCACTGTCTGCTGTCAGAATAGGGATTGCAGTGCCTCTGGAGGGCGCCTCCTGCTGGTGGAAATAGACGTTGCAGCTCCTTTGGAGAGCGCTGCCTGCTGGCGGGCGCAGGGATTGCAGTTTATTTGTTGGCACCACCTGCTGGCAGGAGCGGGGGATTGTAGCTTCTCTGGGAAATGTGCCACCTGCTGGTGGGAATGGGGATTGTAGCTCCTTGGGTGCCCGCTGGAGCCTGGTTACTGCACGTGGGGCCCTTGGGCCGGGCCCACCAGCTCGGCAGCTCAGGGCCCCACCCTCCTAGCCTCACAGGACCCTGATGGCCTCCACAAGCCCTGACTCCAGTGCAGTTGCCTTGGGCCGGGGGATAAGGACACAAACACCCAGCCTGTTGGGGGTTCCAGGGTGACCTGTGCTTCCTCAGAACTACACCTGGGTGCGACTTTTCCTCTGTGGACCGAGCAAGGTCTCACAGTGACTCCAGGGCCCTGGTCCCCTCCCCCTGCAGTTGGTCCCTCCAAGGCCGCCCAATGCCTGAGAGGTGGGTTTGCCCACCTTCCTGGGACTGTGTGCCAATGGTGGGGCCTGAGCCTGGGCACCCCCACCTGGAAACCAGGGACTGGCTGGGGGAGCCATGGGGCTCTCCCTACCGGTCTCCCACCTACTATGCGATGCATGCCTGTCATCCTGAGCTGGTCTCGAAGGCTGCTCTCTGGAGGACATTTCCTCCCAACGCCTTGTCCCTCCCAGGGCTCCCGGCACCCCCCACCCTGTATCCGCTGGCACAGCCAGGAAAAGCGTCTGGTTGTGATTGAGTCTGAGCGCGGGTGTGGGGAGTTGTGACCACAAACCCCAAGAATGGGGGCAGCTCAGGCCACGTCCCGGGGCTCCTGAGTGGCCGTCATGGAGTCAGCAGAGTTGTTCTGGGGGAGGGTCTCTGTGTGAGGGGCTGGGGCTGGGGCGCTGGTGTCCTCAGCGCGGCACTGCCAGACCTTCCAGCATGTGCAGGACAGTCACGTCCAGCTGGCTGGGCCCCAGGCTGGCCCCCACCCCGTGGCCCCACCGCCCACTCCACGTGGGGGAGCACGTGTGTGGCCGTGCGTCTGCTGCTTGCCCTGGACGGAGCAAGCTGGGCTTGGCAGCCATGGTCCTGGCCTGGAGCCGCTTCCTGGGGTGTGGGCACGCTGCTGTTCCACCAGCCAGGCCCGCAGATCCCACCCGATGTGCTGTGATGACAGCCCAGGGGCCCAGGGCAGCCCATGTCTGTGGGAGCTCAGCAGGGCTGGTCAGAGGCACACACTATGGGAGCCCACATCTTCCTGCAGGGCTGGTCAGAGGCACACACTATGGGAGCCCACACCTTCCTGCAGGGCAGGCTCTGAGCTGGGCCTGGCCAGTCCCCAGCACTGCCCACTGGGGCCCACCCCGCAGCTCAGCCTGCGGCCAGCCTTGCCACCTGGAGCTTTGCTCTCAGGGCCCGGCACCCCAGGTATTGGAGCCTGGAGTGCAGTCTGCTGGGGTCTTGGAAAGCTGTCCCTGGGGCCTCGGAGGCCCAGGGGGTCCATCTGGGCTGGAGGGGCAGGATACCTGCTGCTTCTCACACCCAGTCCTAGGGTGGCTGGAATGGGACCCTAGGAGAGTGCTGACACCCAGGCCCGGCTGATAGGCCCCTTTGTCTCCAGCCATCAACTCGTGCACCGTGGGCAATGGCGGCTGTCAGCACGAATGCGTGCAGCTCACGGCTGCCCAGCACCGCTGCCAGTGCCGGCCTGGCTTCCAGCTGCAGGAAGACGGCAAGCGCTGTGCGAGTGAGTGCAGGCAGCCCCTGCCCGGGCCCCGCCCCTCACGGGCCCGCCCTAGGCCCTGGCCCCGCCCCACTAGCTGGCCTGCCCTACAGCCCCGCCCCCAACCGGCCCGTTCCCAGCCTGGGCCACGCCCCCGCCTAGGCCCCGCCCCCACAAAACGGACCTACACTATAGCCCGGGCCCTATCCCTTCCTGGCCCTGGCCCGGTCCCACAAGCCGGACTTGCCCTATAGCCTGGGCCCCACCTTGCCCGGGCCCCGCCCTCAGTCTGGCCCCGCCCCACACGCTGGACCTGCCCTACAGCCCCACCCCTGTCTGGCCCCGCTCCCATCCCAGGCCCTGGCCCCGCCCCACAAGCCCGACCCGCCCTAGGGCTCGGGCCTGCTCCTAGCCCAGTCCCTCCACACAACCAAACCTGCCCTATAGCTAGGCCCCGCCCCCAGGCCCCGGGACCCCCCCACCCCAGGCCTGACCTGCCCTACACCCCGCCCCTAGTCCCAGGACTGTTCCCGGTCCCGCCTTCATGACCCCGCCCCCAGCCCCGCCCACTTCCCCGCCCCCTCCTACAGCCCAGGACTGCTCCATGGCGGGACCAAGGGGATGTGGGCCCAGCTGGGGTGGGCCGTAATGGGGGTGCACAGGAGTCTTCCGAGGAGCCTCTCCCTGCCTGGCGGATCCCACCGTTCCGGGCCGACGGAGGGAGGCGCTCCCCAGCTGAGCCGCCAGGGCTGGGCGGACCCTGAGTCACGAGCCCCCAACTCTGCCTGGCCACAGGGCGAAGCCCGTGCGCAGAGCGGAACGGCGGCTGCATGCACACGTGCCAGGCAGCCCAGGGTCTGGCTCGCTGCTCGTGCCACGCCGGCTACCGGCTGGCTGCTGACCGCAGGACCTGCGAAGGTAGGCGCCCCTGGGGCCTGGGAGTGGGGTGCTATCACCCAGTAATTGGGCTCTCCTGCCCAAGGACACCCAGGCACCGCGTGGACGCTTCTTTCTGGACCCTCCTCCCACGTCCCCCATTGCAGCTTCTCTGAAAAGCCGATTTCGGGGGGGTGATTCCCACCACCCTGAGAGTGAGGCTGGGGTGCCTGTGTCCAGGCCAGGTGCTGGCAGTTTTGGGTGTCCTGCCAGTGGCCACAGAGTTGCCTTGTGTGACCTGGCACCAAGGGCAACCCATCTGGTCAGGGGCACCCCAGGAGTCAGCCCCGTCTGTGTGGGGGGCAACTTGCTGAGGACCCCAAGTTCTGGACCAAATGACCGATGCGAGTGGCACAAGGTGGCTGGGGGCCCCTTTACCCTCTCTCCTGCAAGGCGTCTCCCGTCCCAGGCTGCGGGTGCAGAGGGGAGGGGTCTGGGTCAGTGGTTGGGCTCTGGGGGCCCGGTGCACCCCTTCCTGTCTGGGACTCTGCAGGTCTGGGGTATGGACCCGGGCCCGTCTTTGCTCTCCCACAGATGTGGATGAGTGTGCCACGGGGCTGGCCCGGTGCGCCCACGGCTGCCTCAACACCCAGGGCTCGTTCAAGTGTGTGTGCCACGCAGGCTACGAGCTGGGCGCCGATAGCCGGCAGTGCTACCGTGAGTGGGGTGCAGGGGGGCGGCGAGGGGCTGCTGCTGGGCCCCCTGACCAGCCTGTCCCACAGGCATTGAGATGGAGATCGTGAACAGCTGTGAGCTGGACAACGGCGGCTGCTCCCACGGCTGCGCCCACAGCCCAGAGGGTCCCCAGTGCTCCTGCCCCCACGGCTACATGCTGGATGACGACAGGAAGACATGCCTGGGTGCGGGAGCCCCCCAGCCTCAGCCCTCACAACCAAGCGCCCCAGCCTTAGCCCCCGCAACTGAGCACCCCCAGTCTGAGTCCCCCAGCCTGAGCCCTTCAGCCTCAGACCCCACAGCCAGCCCCCCAGCTGAGGCCCCGCAACCAAGCCCCCCAGCCTGAGCTCCTGAACCCCCGCAACCAAGCCCCCTACCCTGCGTGCTCCATAACCCCATGCAGACCTGATGCCCCACAAACCACCTGCACACTGCAGTGGCCACACCCCATGTGGGGCCCCCTTCCGCCTCCCCAAGTCCTGCCGGGTGAGGGCACTCTGCCCTCCCTCTCTTGGGGTGCCTGGAGCGGTACCCCTGGGGGCGTGGGCAGGCCGGCGTAAGGGTGCCAGCAGCCTCCGTGCCCCGCAGACATTGATGACTGTGCCCAGGCGCCCTGCTGCCAGCAGGTATGCACCAACACGCCCGGCGGGTATGAGTGCGGCTGCGCCGCGGGCTACCGGCTCAGCGCCGACGGCTGCGGGTGTGAAGGTGCGTGCACGGGCAGAGCTGCGGGACGGCCAGGCGGGCGGGCCCGAGCGCTGGCCACAGATCAGCCCGCCGGCTCTGCCCGCAGACGTGGACGAGTGCGCCTCGGAGCACGGCGGCTGCGAGCAGCGCTGCACCAACCTGGCAGGCTCCTTCCGGTGCTCCTGCGAGGCCGGCTACCGGCTGGACGAGGACCTCCGGGGCTGCTCCCGTGAGTGGCCCCGCGGGAGGCGGGGCGGGGCGGGGTGAGGTAGGCGGGGCAGGGCAGGGACGCGTGCTCTGGCCCTCTGCCCCCCAGCGCTGGAGCTGCTCGAGGTGGACCTGGCCGGACAACTGCCCTTCGCGCGGCCACTGCCCCACGTGGCGGTGCTCCGGGACGAGGAGCCGCTGCTCTTCCAGGAGGACTACGCGGGGGCCGAGGAGGAGGTGGCCGAGGCCCGGGGCGAGCACTCCCTACAGGAGCGGTTCGGTGAGTGCTGGTCCGGCGGGGCGCGGCCCAGGGCCCGATGTGCTCTGGGCTAAGACCCTCCCCTCGGCCCCCAGTCTGCCTGGACGGCTCCTTCGGCCACGACTGCAGTGTGACGTGTGCTGACTGCAGGAACGGGGGCGCCTGCCTGCCTGGCCTCGATGGCTGTGACTGCCCTGCGGGCTGGACTGGGCTGGTCTGCAACGAGAGTGAGCGGGCGCGGGGCCACGAGCTGGGCCATAAGGGCACAGAGGGTGTGGGGGCCCAGGGGCCGGGGTGGGCTGTAGGGGTGGGCATGGGGCATAGCAGAGCCCTCCCTTCTGTCCCTGATCTGCCCCTACCCACCCGGGCTGCCGTGGCACCACCGGGTGTGCTGAGGGAGCCCTGTCCCCTGCAGCCTGTCCCCCGGACACCTACGGGAGGAACTGTACCCTCTCCTGCCGCTGCCAGAACGGGGGCACCTGTGACCCAGTCACGGGAGCCTGTCACTGCCCGCCGGGCGTGGGGGGCGTCCACTGTGAGGACGGTGGGTACCAGCCTGACCCAGGGGGTACCCGTCTCGGCCCCCTCCTGGGAGGGGTGTGGGGTACCTGCGCCCCGGGGAGGGCTGAGCCCAGACCCGCACTCGTGAGGCCCACCTGGGGGGTGGCCCGTCCTTCTGGGTGGGTTCCCAGCGGGCGGCACTCTCGGGCGCTGGGACTGTGGGCCTGTCGTGGCTTCAGTGCTGCTGGAGGGGTGGGCGGAGAGGGCCAGGTCGTCCAGGAGAGGCCGCGTCCAGGGCTCATCATCCCCAGCCTGTTGTGGGGGGTCCTCGCCCACCCGGGCCCTCCCTGCTGGCCGCCCGCCCCTCCCCACAGCTCCATCCATCACTGCCGGCAGCCCCTCCCTTGGTCAGTTCTCCCGATGACCCCGCCCACCAGCGATCCGGCCCCTCCCTGCTGGCAGCCCCGCCCCTGGCCCCGCCCCTTCTACCAGGCCACCCCGCCCCCAACTCCTCAGCTATGCGGTTGAGTGCAAATGGGGCCCTGCCACTGGATCCCCCCACACATCCCATTCCTCCTGCCCCCAGGCTGCCCCCAGGGCTTCTACGGCCCCCATTGCCGCAGGAAGTGCCACTGTGCTCACCGCGGGCGCTGCCACCGCGTCCACGGTGCCTGCCTGTGTGACCCTGGGCGCTACGGTCGTTTCTGCCACCTGCGTGAGTCCTGCCTGGGCTCAGGGTGGGGTCCCTCAGCTCAGCCCGTGTCCCGTCTGGTGTCCTGTTCCCATCTGCAGGCGAGGCCGTGGGGCTCAGTGGGGACTCAGCTGGGTCCTGGTGGGGTCCCCTCACCACGCGGCAGCTGCCCTGAGCCCAGCCCCGGGGGTCACACAACTGCCTGGGGGCCCTGGACACAGGGAGGGGCTCCCCAAGCCCCTCACAGCCTTGCCTGGGGGGCACTGTCCAGCGGGTGCCCTGGGGGATGTCCATCGCGGCTCCTGCCCCGGGGGCTCCGTGCCGGGGTGGACAGAGCCCTCACGGTTCTGTGGTGCAGCCTGCCCGGCCTGGGCCTTCGGGCCTGGCTGCTCTGAGGAGTGTCGCTGTGAGCCGAGGGGAACGCGGGCCTGCGACAGGAAGGACGGCAGCTGCTCCTGCAAGGCCGGCTTCGGAGGCGCTCGTTGCCAGGCCGGTTAGTGCAGGCAGGGGGGCGGGCCCAGGCAGCTGCAGGACCCTGAGCCCCTGTCTCCCCCCAGAGTGCCAGCCCGGCTTCTTCGGACCTGGGTGCCAGCAAGTGTGCTCCTGCCTGCCAGGTGTGGCCTGCGACCCTGTCAGCGGCCAGTGTGGGGTGCTGTGTCCCGCGGGCCTGAGGGGGAAGGACTGCGACCAAGGTGGGTGGCAGCTGGTGCCAGGGCCAGGGCTGTCAGGCTTTGCTGGGCAAGCCCTGGGCACCTCCCCCTCCCCTGTCCCCTGCCTTGGCATATGGCAGCCACAGGCCAGCCCCTCTGAGGGCTGCTGCCCACGCCCACGCAGGTGTGGCCCTCTGTGCCCACACCCTGTGTACCTTCCCTGTGCCCCCCCCTGCCCCGTGCCCCTCACCCTGCATGTACCGAAGCACGGCCTCTGAACGCCCCCGGCCCCTTCCCTGTGCTGACTCGTGGGCCCCAGGCATGCACAGGGTCTGGTGAGTTGTGCCCAGATGGCTCTGTGCTGTGCCCTCCCCCACTGGTCCCCCTGCAGAGTGTCCCGTTGGCACGTTCGGGCTGAACTGCTCCAGCTCCTGCTCGTGTGAGGGGGGCCCCTGTGACGCGGTCACCGGTCAGTGTGACTGCCCCCCCGGGAAGACGGGCCTTGGCTGTGCGGCAGGTGAGGGGCGCCCTGGGGTGGGGCACCTGGAGCGGGCAGTGGGGCTCACTGGGGTCCCGTCTGGGGGGAGCCAGCAGCAGGGCCTCAGGGAGCCTGGTGACCGCGGGGAGACTCCTGAGGCCTCTGGGGCCTGGGCTGCCAGGACATCGCCCAGAGTGTGGGCACGGGGACACTGTGAGCCTGGACACTGTGAGCCTGTCTGGGCCTGCCTGTGCCCACCTGGATACATGGCAACCACTGCCAGGATTTGGCCTAGCCCCAGCCCTACCTCTACCTGCATCCCTGTAGCTCTCTCTCTGGCCTGCCCCTCCTGCTGCACCCCTGTCCCTTCCTGTCTCTGCCCTGCCCCACCTCCTGCAGTGTGCCCCACAGGGTGGATAGGGCCCGGTGCCAGGCTCGGTGCTCATGTGCAGTGATGGGCACTGCCACCTGGTGAGTGGGTGCCGCAGCTGTGCCCTGGGTGAACTGGTCTCAGCTGCCAGAGGTGTGGGCAGCCCTCAGCCAGTGTGCTTTGGCTCCCTGGCCCCTGGAAGAGATGGCAGAGTCCGTGCCCCTGGCATCAGGCAATCAGGTGGCGCCCCCCCCCCCTTGTAGCTGTGAAAGTGGTGCTGGGGCCCATGTACAGCATGTCCTGCAAATGCAGCACTGACCACTGTGGCTGAGACACATGGGTACTGGGGGCAGCTGCACACCCACACCTACAGCATGGGCACAAGTGCTCCCCACACGGGCACACAGTGTTCCCAAACATGGGCCCATGGTGCTGTAAACATGGATACACAGTGTTCCACACACGTTTAGAACATGAGCAGAAGCATGTACACACATGCATGCCCATATACGTACACATGGGCACACAGCTCATGTAGGCACATGTAAACATGCATCCTTGCCCATGCATGAATACGTGCCCACATGTATTCTAGAGCAGGACAGCACACACGTACATATGTGCTCCAGGCTCCTGCAAACATGGGGATGGCACCTGCCTCCGGCCCCTCCCCCGTGACCTTCCCCCACCACCATCGACGTGCGGTGGCTCATACACCATGCACAGGTCACGCGTGGGGCTCTCCCCAAGCCTTGACGTCCCCTTGGCGTGGGCTGAGCCAGTCCCCTTGGGCATCAGTGCCTCTCATGGGCGGGCAGGCCCGGGCCCAGCTGTCCTCAGGGCCCTGTGTGCTGGGCCGTGTGCGGTGGTGCCACTGTGGGCCCTGCCACCCCATCCACGGCTCCGGCCTGTGCCTCGCTGGCTCCTGGGGTCTCCACTGTGCCCAGTGGTGTTTGACCCTGACACATTCGTCCTGCTGCCCTGTCTGGGGTCATTAGACCAGACAAGGTCCCCAGGCCAGCACCCTGCCCCAGCCGCGCTGCAGCCCCGGGTCTGACCCCTGAGCCTTGTCCTGCTGTGGCCCAGCTCCCACCACAGCCCAGACACTCCCGCTCCCGTGGGCCTCCCCGTCACGCCGTCAGAGGGCAGTGCCCCTACCCCACACGCTCGCCCTCTGCCGGGCAGACCCTGGGCTCACCTGTTCTCGCCCGGACACTCCCTGCTTTTCACACCTGGGGGAAGTCCAGGGCCACCAGCCAGAGCTGTGAGTGGGGGCCTGGAGCTGGGGTCCTGAGGCCCCCAATGCGCCCACTGGGCAGCCCCTCTCTTGGCCCCAAGAGGCCCGGGCCTGGTCTCAGTGGGGGCTGGGTCCCTCCCAGGCCACACGGCCTCAGGTGGGAAGCATGGCCCAGCTAGGCACCGCCCTGACTTGGAGCCACCTGCTCTGAGCCAGCCCCGCACCCCAACTCCAGGCTTCCTGGCAGCTTCTCCCGTCTTAGCCCTTCTCATCCCGCAGTCTGTGTGGAGGGCACCTTCGGGGCGCGCTGTGAGGGGCGCTGCGCCTGCCGCCGGGGTGCCCAGTGCCACCATGTGACCGGTGCCTGCCTCTGCCCCCCGGGATGGAGGGGCCCCCGGTGCGAAGAAGGTGAGACCTGGGGCCCTCGCAGACTGTCTTTGCCCCGTCCCCGGGCCCTGCTGGGGGCCCACTGCCCGTGCTCCCCACAGCCTGCCCAGCTGGCCGATTTGGAGAAGAGTGTGCCCAGCGCTGCCAGTGCCCCCCGGACGCCCCCTGCCACCACGTCACCGGGGCCTGCAGCTGCCCCCCTGGCCTCCGTGGGCCCGGCTGTGCGCAGGGTAGGTGACCGCAGCTGCGGCCAGGCTCCTCCAGCTCAGCAGGGCGCACGGCTGACCCTGAGCGACCCTGCGGGGGCCCAGGGCCAGCTGTGGGGGGCCCACGGCTGACCTCCCGCCCACACCCAGCCTGCCCGCCTGGCACCTTTGGGGAGCGCTGCACACAGCAGTGCCAATGTCCTGGGGACCATCACACCTGCCACTCTGCCTTGGGGTGCGTCTGTGCTGCTGGCTTCCATGGCCCCAGCTGCCGGCAAGGTGAGTGCGGGCTCCCCACTGACCCACCAGGGGGCCCAGTCTGAGGGCACGGGTGGGCAGTGCCTGGCGCCTGTATACTGCCCTTCCCCTGCAGCGTGCCCGCCCGGGCGCTTTGGGCCTGGCTGCCAGCAGCTGTGTCAGTGTCTTAATGGGGGCTCCTGCGACCCGGCCTCGGGCACCTGCCGCTGCCCCGCGGGCTTCCTCGGGCCCGACTGCGGCCTCGGTGAGTGTGGGGGTGGCGGGGAAGCCCTGCCGTGGTGGGGGGGGGCGGACTGCCCAGAGGGGTCGTGGGCACCCACGCAGCCGCCACCTCCTGTCCGCAGCCTGCCCGCCCGGCCGCGCTGGCCCCGGCTGTGCCTGTGTGTGTAGGTGTGGGCCAGAGGCGGTCTGCGACCCTGTGACCAGTGCATGCAGCTGCCCTCCAGGGAGGACTGGCTCCCAGTGTGAGCATGGTGAGACTCGGGCTGGGCACACACTCCCACGGCACCCACACAGTTCCTCGCCCCCGGTCAGCATGGGCGCCCAGGGCGGGCCTGGGGACTCGGACTTCCGCCAGGACATCCTCCCTGCCCGCCTGCCAGGCGCTCATGTCCGTGGGGGTCCTGGACTGCTGACTGGGGTGGGTGTCCAATTGGGAGGGGCATGCGTGTCCCCTGGGAGCAGAGATGGGCCTCAGGGGTCAGAAGGCCTGTGTGGAACAGGGCAAAATGCGATGTGCCCAGGTGACCCCAGCCTGAACTCTGAGCGGCACCCGTGTCCCCTCAGGGTGTCCCCAGGACCGGTTTGGAGTGCACTGTGAGCAGGAGTGTCTGTGCAGGAATGGGGGGCTCTGCCACGCGGCCACCGGCGCCTGCTCCTGTGGTCCCGGCTGGACGGGGCTCCACTGCGAGCTGTGTGAGTGGGTGTCCGGGGGGCTGCGCGGGGGCCTGGGTCTGCCGTGTCCCTGACGTGGGACTCCCTGCAGCCTGCCCCCCGGGGCTCTATGGGGCTGCCTGTCGCCTGCCGTGTGCCTGCGGGAACAGCAGCTGCGACCCTGCCACGGGTGCCTGTGTGTGCCGCGCCGGGGTCTACGGCCCCTCCTGCCAGCACCGTGAGTCCCGGCTCTCCTGCACCGACTCCAGCTGCGCCAGGGTGGGAGTTAGGGGGCTGGGGTCTTGCTCTGGGTAAGCTGAGGCAACTAACCTGGCTCCCCCAGCCTGTCCCCCCGGTTTTCACGGACCCGGCTGCCGCGCGGCCTGCGCATGTCAGCACGGGGCCTCCTGCGACCCCGTCAGTGGACGCTGCCTCTGCCCGGCCGGCCTGCAGGGCCAGTCCTGTGAGCAGTGTGAGTGCCCAGTTCCCACAGCGCCCCGCCACGCCCCTACCCCGCCCACAACCCAGGCCCCGCCCCACCCACACAGGCCACGCCCCCTACAGAACTTGGTCCCGCCCACAGCCCCAACCCCGTCCAACATGCCCTGGGCCCTGCCCCGCCCGCCTGACTCAAGACCCCTGCGCCCATCAGGGTGTGCGCCCGGCTCCTTCGGGCAGGACTGTCTTGGGCGGTGCAACTGCCAGGGCGGGGCTCCCTGTGACCCCACCACCGGCCGCTGCCTCTGTCCCCCGGGACGCACGGGGCCCACCTGTGACCTTGGTAAGTCTGGCTCCTGGGGGTGTTCTGGGGGCAGTAACGCGGAGCTGCTCCCCATGAGGGGTGGGAGAGACTCTGAGGGGGAGCCCCCCAATCTGTGCCCGGACCCCACTGTGCTGTGTGCAAACTCCGCTGCACTCCAGCTTTGCGGTGCTGGTCACCGAGGCCACTCGGGCACCGCCCACGGAGTGCCCCCTGGGCAGAGAAACAGACCTGGGGCTGCCAACGAGCCCTGGTCCCCGGAGAGGCCAGGCCCTACGACTGCCTGGCAAGTGATGGTACTGAGGCTCCCACCGCCCACAGGATGCAGAAGGGGCTTCTTTGGGCCCGACTGTGCCCTGCGCTGCGACTGCGGGGGCGGGGCGGACTGCGACCCCGAGAGTGGGCAATGCCACTGCCTGGACGGCGCCACGGGGCCCACGTGCCGCCAGGGTGAGTGGCTGCAGGGGGTGGGGGAGGGCCTTTGGTGCGCTCCCTGATAGACCAGGAGCCCATAGTACACAGCAGTACCCACCCTGCACGTGTTGGCGGTGAGTGCCCACATGTGACCACACGGCTGTGTATGTGTGCTCACACAGGCGCTGACACATGCTTGCATTGTGTGCACTGGGGCGGGGGGCTGCTTTAGAGCATGCGAATACGCACATGTGCTCATACCTGTGTGCTGTCATGCACACGTGTGCTCAGGACATGCTAGCTCTTTGTACTATGTTCAGAGCATACTAGCATATCCTCGTGTTGCAGTGCACACGGGTGCTCCTGTGTGCCCACAGCAGTGCGGGAAGGTGCAGGGTTGTGCCTTGGCCTCAGTTTCCTGGCAGTGAGGGAGGTGGGGGGGCTTGTTGGCAGAGTTGGGGTGCCCTTCACTATTCCTCAGCACCCCCATGGGAAGGGGGCTACTTCTGCAGGTGGGTGAAAGCGGAACCAATCTGTGTGTGGACCTCAGAGGGGTCTCTCAGCTTGGGGGTCCACGTCGGTCTCCTTAAGGGCAGGCTTGTAGCCTCTGGCCTCCGAACATTAGAGGCAGATGGTGAAGAAACGCGGTGAACAGCGCCCCTGGTGGTCGGCAGAGACCCTGCATCCCGGGCACTAGGCAGCCGGCCCTGGAACCAAGGGTTTGGGACCCGAAGGGGCGTGACAGGGGTTCCGGCTCAGGTTTGCTCCCATTCATCGTGCGCTCCGCCCCCTGGGGAGCCTTTGGTCTCCAAAGGACTGCCCTGTGCTCACACTGGCTAGCTGGTGCGCACGGGGAGGGGCCAGGCCTGGCCGGGTCAGGCGGGGCGATGGGCTCTCGGGTGGGCCCCTGCAGTCCCCGGGAGCCGGGTCCCCACCCGTGGCCCGAGTAAGGGACAGGGGTGTGTGGGTGGTTCATTCAGAGAGGGCCCTGGATGGAGCGGGGAGGGGGGCTCGCCCCTTCCTGGCTGACCCCGTGACCCCTGTGTGTGCAGGGCCCATACTCCCCGCAGCCCCCACAGAGCCCGGAGCGCCTGCAGCATGAAGTCCACCAAGGCCACCCAGACCAGCAGAGCACCCTGGGCGCTGGCGCTGAGGAGGGGGTTGGACCCAGGACGGCAAGGACCCCTCTCCTGGAGGACACCCTCCCGTCTCTGAGCCCGCATACTGCCCGAGCCGGGCCCTGCCCGCCTGCGTGGCTTCTGTTGCCCTCCCTTGGGGCCCTGCGTGTATTTATGGACATGCCCACCGCACCTGTGCTGGGGCCGCACCTGTGCTGGCGCCCAGGAGTGACCCCGGGGGCCTGTGGTGCGGGGTCACCGTGACAGGCACGAATGAAGAACCCAGGTGACTTCCCGCTTGTCCTCTGCTCTGTGTGGCGCCTCCTGATTCAGGCCCTGCTGCCCTGGGCCCTGCCCTCCTGGGGCCAGGGTGCCCCCATGCAGGCCTGACCCTGCTCCTGGAGGCTGGGTGCACACACACTCACACTCACATGCACACGCACTCACACACGCACTCACACACACATTCACATGCACTCACACACACGCACTCACATGCACACACACCCTCACACATTGACACATCACAACACCCCACACATTCACACACCACACACATTCACCTACACACACATTCACACATGCACCTACATACACAATCACACACCCACACATTCAGTCCCTCCATATTTACGCACACTTCATGCTCCCCAACATTCACCCAGAAACCCCACCCCACACTCACACATTCTTCACAGCAGAAATGGGGTAAGGGGCCCGGCGTAGCTTGGTTGGGGACTGTCACACCACAGGGACCTGGGGCTGCAGGTTAGCATCTGGACTGGAGCCCTCTCTCTCCCCTTCAAAATCCACCCGTCACTGGGCCCCACTCCTCCGCGCACTGGGAAGTGGGTTCTGGGAAGGGCGGTCACTTGGACCAAGAGTAAGTGACAAAGAGGCAGGGGGCGGGGCCTGCTGGAGTTGCAGAACTGCACTGGGCGGGGCCTGGAGGGGGCGGGGCGGGGCCTGGAGGGGGCGGGGCTGCAGAGGAGGGGCAGTACACGGTGCTCGAGGATCGAACTGAGGACGCTGAGCACACACCCCCGCCCTCTGAGCCACTGTCCCAGCCTGGACTGATGAACTTTATAAACATGAAACAGGGAAACACAGAGAGGCAAGGGCTAAGGATGCTGACAGAGGAGGAACATGTGGAGCTGGCAGCCAGTTGAGGGCAGCGGGCAGGACAGTGGGTGGGCAGGATGCTTTCCTGCTACGAGGCTCACTGGGCTGGAGTCCCTGCAACACCAAGGGGCCCCCCAGGAGTGACCGCTGAGCAGGCCTAGGATAAGCCCCGAGCACGGCTGGGTGTGGCCCAGACACACACACAGGAAGGTCACACACCCAGGACAAACACACAGGAAGTTCACTGTGACTCAGGGAGCAGGACCGCAGACACCAGAGTTCCGTCTTGGACAAATGTAAAGTGCCAGAACCAGAGCAAAGAGAAGCGAGACGGCAGCTGGACAGCCACCCTGATCTGCCTTGGATGGGTCAGTCATTCTATAAGATTCCCTAGAGAACCTGTTGCCAGAAGCCGGTGTGCCTCTGTCACTCTGCCTCTAGTGCTGATGCAGAATTCCCAGAGCTGCAGAGGGCATCGACTCAGCCCCTAGGACTGGCCATGGTCTGCTGAACCCCAGAACAGTGAGAGCAGGGGTGGGCTGCGCCTACCCAGCCATGGGCTCCTTCCTGCTCTTAGGGGGCCCTTCCCAAGGGAGACAGGGGGTCTTCGCCTGCCAGACAGGGGCGCCAGGAGCCCTGCCCGACTAGGGGTGGTGGGGACGACAGCGAGAAGGCCCTGACACTCGGGGGACAGGACCAGGATGAGCCCCCGGAGATGTGGGTGGGTGGAAGGGGGCAGAGCGGTTGGCACCTGTGCTGTCCAGGCTACAGCCCAGACTCGGATATGGGGCCGACTCGGCGCCCACTAGGGGGCGGCAGAGTGACTTGTCCATGTGGCAGTGGCATCTGCGGTGCCCACAAGGCGCCCAAGGCCCGGATGGAGGCAGGGTGAGGCGTGAGCCTGGGGAGGGGCCAAACACAGACCCGCTCACTGTGCCAAAGCCAGGGCTGGCACCTTGCTCTGCCCAACCCCAGTGGGCACAGGCCTGGGGGTGACTCCGCCCATTCCTGAGGAGGCACCTCAGTGGGGAAGGGGTGCGACCCCCTCCAGGTTAGGGGTGCCCACTCCTGGCTTGAGTAGAACGGCTGAAGTCCAGCCGCGGATGTCCCCTGCTCAGGGTCACAGAGTGGAGGGCAAGGGTGAGGGTGTGACCCCCCAGACCCTCAGTTCCAGTGACAGGGCGTCGGAGCAGGCACAGTGGGGACAACCACTGTCGGTATCTGGGCCGACACAGAGAATGCCCGGTGTCCAGCTGGTCAGAAGCGACCCCGTGCACACACACCACATGCCCGGCCAGCTGCATCAGGCCAAGATCACGTGGTAGTGCAGCCCAAGCCCCAACTGAGGCCCCCCCAGGGACAGGGCAGCCCTGACTATCTCTGACCTAGGTCAGTTGGGGTAGGGCCCAGCGGTGGGGCTCACCTTTGGGGTCCCCTGGGACACAGCAGTGGTATCTGGGCCCCCGCCCCTCCCCTTGGGCAGCTGCATCCTGGTCCTGGCCCATCCTGGGAGGGACAGGACACCCCAAAGTGACCACACAGCACCAGGATGGTGGCACCCTAAGTGTCTGCACAAGAAGTGCAGGGATGGGCTGTAGTGACTGCACACGGGCTGAGCTGCCAGAGACCCCACGTGTGCGAGGAATGTTTTAATGTTCTAGAAATGTTGAGGTCACAGTCTCAGTTCCACTCGGGGCACGGGGTTTCCCTAGACAGTCCCCCAGGGCCAGCCCCCATCAGCTACCGGGGCGGGGCAGTCACTGGAGCAGAGGAATCGGTCTCATAGCACTCCCCGAGGTCTTGGCCTGGGGGTGCTGCTGATGCCCTGGGAGCTGATCTGGAGAGTTCTCCTGGGGGCAGAGCTGGAGGTTGTTCCCAAGGCCAAACAGGAGTGGTCCCAGAAGGGCTGGAGTGTGGTCCCAGAAGGGCCGGAGAGTGCTCCCAGGGGGGCTTGAGGGTGCTCCCAAGGCCGAACTGGAGTGCTCCCAGAAGGGCTGGAGGGTGCTCCCAGAAGGGCTGAAGAGTGCTCCAGGGGGGGCTGGAAGGTGCACCCAGGCCGGGTGCCTACACATCCGTCTCCAGACGCAGCCTGGCCATCCGGCGTACATTGTCCTCCACGGCCACACGGCTGGTGATGCTGCAGGCCACGTCCTCTGGGAACCAGCCCGTCTCGCCGTCCCGCAGACGCTCCCCGTACAGCCACCCTGGGAGCATGGGGCCTGAGCACGGGTGCACGAGCCCCGTGTCCCTGCCCTGCGCCCCCATTCCCGGGCACACCGCCCATGCCTGGCCCCGGCTCACCATCCTCCTGCTCCAGGACGAGCACCACGTCTGCCTGCTGCAGGCTGATCTCGTCCACCTGCTTGGCCAGGTAGGCCCTGGTCACCTCCACCTGCAGCAGGTCTGGGGACACAGTGACAGGACTCAGCCAGCTGGTCCCTCCCAGTGCCCCCCAGGGCAGGGCCCCGTGTCACAGCCAGGATGGGGGGGGAGTGGGCATGATGCAGACCCGCCGGGCCTCACCTCCTTTGTTGGGGGACCCCTGCTTCTCCCTCGGGCTGAGAGCCGTGATCCACCGGGCCCGGTCGCTCCTGGGGACAGATGGGGTCAGTGCTGCACCTGGCCGCTCTCCATACAGGCGATGTTTCCCAGTGCCCGCACCCCCACCCCGCATCCCCCCTACTCACGCAGATTCTGCGGCCAGCAGGAAGCTCTCCCGCCGGCCCTCACTGTTGCACTGCAGGGTCAGCCGGAAGGGGTAGGGCACTGACGAGCTGCGGCTGCCGCCCCCTGGGAGGGCCGCCTCCCCCGGCTCCAGCCTCTGCACCGAGATCTCGTCTACCTGCGCATAGTCCTGCACCAGGAAGCTCTCCTCGCTGTGGACAGACATGGGCAGAGGGGCCGTGGTGGGCACATGGCCACAGAGACACAGTGGGCAGGGACACAGGTCGCAGTGCACAGACGGGTACAGGGGCTGCAGTGGACAGACAGACACAGGCACAGGGGCCGCAGTGGACAGACAGACACAGGCACAGGGGCCGCAGTGGACAGATGGACACAGGACTGAGTGGCCAGACAGACTGGGCTGAGTGACAGAGGTGCATGGGCCCCGGGCAGAGCACACCTCTTCTTCTTGGTGAGCACCAGCACATCATTGAAAAGGAACAGGTAGGCGGTCGGCCGGCTGCCCAGCTTCCGGAAGAGCCCAGCGTCCTCCACCAGCAGCAGTTCCCCGCGCCGCCGAAGCCAGCGGGACGCCGAGATCAGCGGGAGGGACTGCGGGCGGACACGGTGAGGTGGGTGGGCTGTGCCTCACAGGGCCCTCGGGCGCAGCTGCCTGGAGCCTGGCCTGGCCCAGCACCCTTGGGGCAGGGGTGCCAGCAGGTGGCAGCGTCTCTGCCAGAGCCCCGACAGCTGTCCCACCTGAAGCCCCCCCACCCCAGGCACCATCACACTTGAAGCGTGAGGCCCAGAGAAGACTGCAGGTTTCACCCTGACACCTCCTCCCGAAAGTCCCCCCATCTACTCTAACCCTCACCTGGAACCTCTTCCAGGAAGCCCCCATGGCCCACCTAGAGCCTGGTCCCCTCTCCACATGGGGCCTGCCCCGTCAGCCCAGGGTACCAACAGTCACACGCTCACAGGGGCCAGCCCACAGCTCAGCCCGCCCCAGCCCTGCGTCAGCCCACAGCTCAGCCTGCCCCAGCCCACAGCTCAGCTCACCTCAGCCCACAACTCAGCCCATGGCTCAGCCTGCCCCAGCCCTGCAGCTCAGCCCGCCCCAGCCCTGCCCCAGCCCACAGCTCAGCTCACCCCAGCCCACAGCTCAGCCCATGGCTCAGCCCGCCCCAGCCCTACCTCAGCCCACAGCTCAGCCCGCCCCAGCCCTGCCTCAGCCCGCAGTTCAGCCCGCCCCAGCCCTGCCTCAGCCCACAGCTCAGCCCGCCCTAGCCCTGCCTCTCAGCTCACAACTCAGCCCTCCCCAGCCTGCCTCAGCCCGCCCCAGCCCTGCCTCTCAGCTCACAACTCAGCCCTCCCCAGCCTGCTCCATCCCTGCTCTCAGTATGGGCAGGACTCCTGGCCCGGGCCAGCCCACCCTCTGCCCTGCAGCCCAGGGGACTTGGGTGGCTGCTGGTCGAGCTACCTTGACTTTGCTGAAGTCCAGCTGTGTAGACAGTCTGTACATGAGCTCCGCGCGCTCCATCTTGTGGGCCCCCTCGTTACACTTCTTCACCAGCTGCAGGGGTGAGGCAGGCTGAGTGCGCAGCCCATATGCGGTGGGGAAGGACCTCAGAGCTTCCCCTGCCGCCCGGTCTCACCTTGCTGATGGCCTTGAGGGCTCGGCTGGCGGCCTTGTACCTCTCTGGGTGTCCCTGAGACTTGAGGCAGAGAGTCTGCAGAGAACACCAGAGAAGGCTTGGCCCAGGGCTGAGGGCTGTAGCTCAGAAGGGCCCCAGCACCCACACTGGGCCCATCCCCCCAGGCAGCCCCAGATGGAGCCGTGGGCTCAGCAGCAGGAGCCGGGGCGGCCACTCGCAGACGTGCTGGCTGGAGGGGCCTGGGGGACGCTCTGCAGTCTGGTCTTTGTTCTGCCCACCCGGCCGGGCCAGCAGGGCCAGCGCTGGGCACGAGTGCCCTGGGGCCTTCTGGGCTCCTGCCCGTTGGTCCCGCGTGTGCTGCGCAGTGCACACGTGTGCGCAGCCTGGTGCCTGTACACACGTGTGTACTGCATGCTGGTGTGTACATGGGTACATGCACGTGTGCCCTTCCCCCCGGGGCCCCCAAATCTATCTCCGACCCTGGGGCAGTGGTGGGGGCCGCACCAGAGCCACAGCCCGGGTGCCAAGGGGCCGTGACGGCCATGTGCTACAGGGGACCCAGCTGCCACTTACTGGCGTGAATGAGCCCCCGGTGCCCCCCAAAATATCCCAAGGGGTCCAGAGGTGAGAACAGAGCAGAGGGGAGGCTCCGAGCGCCCGGGTGGGCGGGCCAGCTGGGGGGGGTACTCACGTCCGTGAGTAGCGGCAGCCGCGTCACGCGCTGCATGGGGAGGATAAGGAAGGAGATCAGGGGGAGCCCCCCACACGCGGGCCGCCGCTCCGTCTCCCGCAGCACATCGCGGAAGGCCACGTTGTTGCTCCTGCCAGGACACAGGCCGGGCTCAGCGGGCGGACGGCACCCAGGGACACAAACCGGGGGTCAGCGGGGGGTAAGGGCAGGCGGACCGGGGGATACAGGCTGGGGCTCAGTGGGGGACCCGGGGACACAGGCCTGGGGCTCAGTGGGGGGCGGATAGGACTGAGGACACAGGCTGGGGCTCAGCGGGGGGTGTGGGCGGGATGCAGGACACAGGCTGGGGCTTAGTGGGGGCGCGGTCCAGGCAGCGCTCACATCAGCTTCTGCAGCACCCTCTGCTGGTAGACCTCGTTGGCGCAGTAGAAGACATAAGGGTGGAAGTGGTGCTCCGCGTGCTCTTCCAGGATGTCACTGATGTCCTCCACACACACCTGCTCCTTGTGGCGCTGCTCCAGGGCCTCGAAGAACCTGCGGGGCACACAGACACGTGCACAGGCGTGCACACGCCAGCTACATGCACATACATGCCGTACAGAGGCAAACATGACATGCCAGCTACACACATCACACAGAGGCAAACATGACACACCAGCTACATGCACACACATGCCACTGATGAAACATGACAGGCCAGTTACACGCAAAGATGTTGCACAGATGCAAACAGATCATCTACACACAAAAACATGCCACAGATGCAAACAAGTCAGCTGCACGCAAACACGTTGCACAGATGCAAACACATACCAGATACACACATACATGCCACACAGATGCAAACATGGCAGATACACATACATATCATGTACACACATACAGGTGACACAGATGCAAACATGGCAGATATACATGGCACACCAGATACACATACATGCACACCATGCAGCGCACACCACATACACATGCATGAACACACCACACATACAAATGCAACCAAACACACACAGGCACACACCAGATACGTTCATATACCACATGGACATGTGCACGTATGTGAGTACCAAAAGGCATATGTGCAGGCATGAACCCACAGACACACGCATGCACACATTCAAGTACCAAGCACTTACAGGCATCAGAAACACACAAGTACATAGGCACCATGCACACACCAGATATATACAACACATGTGCCACAGACATGCACACACATGAACACACAACGTGCATTATGGAAGCGTATGCATGCACATATATGCACAAAGCACAAGTCCAGAGACACATGCATGCACAATACACACGTAAGTGCATACACACACACACCCATGCACCCACATCACACACAAGAGCACACTCACACTTGTGCACACACACAGAAGGATCCTGGGAAGACCGGGTGGCACGCAGCGGTCACGCAGCAGTCATGGGTCCCAGGCAAGGCTTGGCTCCCCAGCCTGGGCTGACTTCCTGTCACTGAACTTGGGCACCAGGACCTGATGCTGGGGGTGTGACTGCTACTGGCCTCTCCGCCTGACAGACCAGGTTGGGCCCGGGGTCCCCTGAAGTGAGTACTGGACGCCTACTCTCTGTTGGGCTCTGCCGAGAGGAGGGACAGGGCTGTCCCCAGAACCCCTGAGTCCTACAGGGTAGAGTGGGGGGTATTCCTCAGAGGGGACAGAGCTACCTGCCCACCCGCCGGGGAGTGACCAGGCCTGGTCACCATAGCTGGGGGGCTGAAGGGCTATGGTGTGGTGGAGGCTGGAGGTGCCGGAGGGCCTCAAGGGTCACCCCTGCACAGAATCCTGCAAAGATGGGCAGCCCCACCCTGCCCCCTGTCCCATGATCCCTGCCCCGTGACCCCACCCCCATGGTCCCACCCCTGTGACCAGGCCAGCTGCCTGCCCCTGCCCCACAGTGGCCTGACAGCAGAGCCCAGCACCCTGACACCCCAGCCCTGGACCCCAGAACTTGACCTAGCACCCCACGACCTTGGCATCCTGAGACCCCGTCATCCAGACACCCAACACCCGGCCCCCGGAGTGCCTCCTGGGCACTGTTGCCCAGACCCACCGCTGGCTGGCGCGCTGCACGTCCAGGATGTTGGAGAAGAGGTGGTGGAAGTCCGTGGGCGAGACAGCGGCCCGCAGCTGCGGGGACTGCAGGAACTCGGCCACCAGGATGCCCAGGCTGTGCTGGTACGAGAACTCCGACGTGAGGATCTCGAAGATGGCCTGCGGGGACAGCGGCACTGTGTCCATGGCGGCCAGTGGGGACAGCGGCATCGGGTCCATGATGGCTAGCGGGGTCAGTGCAGCATCATGGCCATGGTGGCTGCGGGGTCAGTGCAGCATCATGGCCATGGTGGCCGCGGGGTCAGCGGGACTGTGTCCCCTGTGCACAGTGGTGTCGGGGGTGCCCTGGACACGAAGCCCAGCCCCGCGAGGCCAGGCACAAGGCTCCCGGCCAGGCTGGCTGTCGCGAGGGCCAGCTGCAGGGCTGGAGCCAGCCAAGGGCCACTCTGGCTATCCTGGCTACTCTGGTTCTGGGCAGGGCCGTGCCGTGGACGACCCCCACCCGCCATGTCAGCCACAACCCAGCCCTCACCTCCTGCCTCTTGCGCTCCTCGGCGGACAGCTGGTCCAGGATGCCCAACTCCACCACCTGGGGGCACAGTGGGGTCAGCGCAGACCTGTCCCCTGGCCCTGACCGCTGCCAGGGAAGGGTGGGGAGAAGGTGGGGCAGAGGGGCCCTGCCAACCCAGCTCTAGGGGTCAGAGGGGAGGTGGGGGCGCAGAGGGAAGGCAGGGGCAGGGCACAGAGGGAAGGCTGGACGGGGTGGGGGGTCCCAGCCTGTCACCCATGGGTGCGGGTGAGTCAGGGTCTAGTGCCCACGCCCCCTGACCATGTCCCTGTGCAGCCACGACCGAGCCGGGGCCAGGACCTGAGAGGGCAGGAGTGGCGGTGGGGACGCCGGCTCTCAGGGCCCTCCTGGAACATTTCTACCTCTGGGAGCTGGCTCCAGGTGAGCTGCGGGGGCCGGTGGGTCTTGACCACGATGGGGGTGTCCACCTTGCGGGCCCCGCCAGGGCTGCAGGGCTCAGCCGGGAGGTCGTCGTCCGACTCGTGGCTGGTGTTCAGGCCGCGCTCCCGGATCTCCTGGTAGAAGCGAGGGTCTGGGGAGAGAGGTCCGTCACCGGGGTCCTGAGCCGGCTGCCCCAGAGGGCACATGCCAGCTTCAGACTGGCACTGACCAACTGTGTCCTGAGTGGGGGAGTCTGGGGGGGCAGTGGGCACAGACCACGTGGGCTGGGGAGTACCCTCTTGCTCCTGGCCAGCCCAGATGGTCCCACTCAGCGTCTCTGTCCCACCTACCACCCCCACACTGTCCTGTCAGAGGCAAGGGGCTCACCAGGGGAGAGGGGGACCTGCCAGTGCAGGCCCTTAGCCGTGCCAGTCCTGTGGGCACCCCCGCCCCCAGAGTGCCCTCTCGGGGCCCTCCCCAGCCCTGCTGAACCCCAGAATCTGACTCCCTGGCCAGGAACCCAGTCAGGCCACAGTCCAAGCGCCTCCCTGGCTGGACTGTCAGCCCCGGCCACTCAGCACCCTGTCCCGAGTCTGGTTGGACCAAAACAGGGAACTTTCCAGAGCTTTCTAGATCCCTCAGAGCACCACCGGACCTCAGTCCCTGGGGGGGGGGGGGGTCAGGTCAGCATATGCCTCAGGACCCTCCTCCCTGCCTGAGAGAACCTGGGACCCTCCTCCCCGCCAGGCAGACCCCTGGGCCCTCCTCTCCACCTGGCAGACGCCGAGGAGCCCAGCCTGGTGGCCCTGTGCCACTCACCGTCCTTGAAGGAGCCCTTGTTCGCGCGCTTCCGCCCGAGAGTCTTCTGCAAGGGGAGACAGAGCCACGCAGCCAGTCAGCAGCAGGACAGGCCCACGGGTCCTGCAGCCACTCTGCTCGCTGGGCTCCATGAGTGTCTGTCCCACCAGGGATGAAGGACAAGGGTGCAGCAAGGGACTCGGGACAGACAGGGAAGGCAACAGAGACAAATGATCCCAGAGGGGCTTCCTGGAGAAGGCAGTAGGGGTGAGCACTTCAACAGGGAGAAGCGAGTCAAGGGGGCACAGAGAGCCCCCCAGAAGGGTAGAGAGGCAGGAGGGGGTGAATGAGCCCAGTCCCAGTGAGGCACAGATAAGGGGCAGACAGCTGTGCCTGTTGCAGAGGTGCAGGGGGCAGGCTGGCCTGGGGGTCCACACGCTGGCCCGTTCCTTGGGAACCTCCTTGTCGAGGCCGCCCTCCCCTCCTGGCTTCCCAGCGCTGGTGCCCAGGACGAGTCAGGGCCTGAGAACTCCCTTGCTGGTCTGGAATGTGGGGCCCTGCCCTGCCTCCAGGTTCCACCCGGGGCTCGCCTGTTCCGGGGGCTCCTCTGCCGGTGGCACCCACACAGCCCTGCTCAGTGCTCGGGAACACCCCTGCCCCATCGGAAGGTCTCAGGCAGCCGCAGTTGGTGGGTGTGCGACAGGGGGAGCTGGGCCGGCCGTGGGGGGACTGAACTTGACCTGGGCAGACTCAGGCTTCGGGTCGCAAGGCCCTCACTGGCCGGGCCACGGAGGCCAGTGAGGGGGCTTCCAGCTCCACGCTGCCTGGCCAGAGCGCCCAGGGCAAGGGGAGCGGCCCTGGTGTGCCCACCGCATCCCAGCCCCCGGCTGGCTTGGGGTCAGTCGCCCTATCCTCACAGAGACCGGGTTTGGCCCTGCCACCAAGGCCACGTCTATCGGGCTGGCCTCGCCCAGAGACAAGCCCCGCCCCGACACACTCCCAGACCCGCCCAAGGAAGCCCCGCCCCCGGCAAGCCCTGCCCCAACACAGCTCTGGAAGCACCAAAGGAAGCTCCGCCCCGACATACCCCGGAAAACCACCCAAGGAAGCCCCGCCCCCACACCCCTGGACCCGCCCAAGGAAGCCCCGCCCCCAGCAAGCCCTGCCCCAACACAGCTCTGGAAGCACCAAAGGAAGCTCCGCCCCGACATACCCCGGAAAACCACCCAAGGAAGCCCCGCCCCCACACCCCTGGACCCGCCCAAGGAAGCCCCGCCCCCAGCAAGCCCTGCCCCAACACAGCTCTGGAAGCACCAAAGGAAGCTCCGCCCCGACATACCCCAGAAAACCACCCAAGGAAGCCCCGCCCCCACACCCCTGGACCCGCCCCAGGAAGCCCCGCCCCCGACACGGCCCCCAGGAAGCCCCGCCCCGGAAGCAGCCCCGCCCACCTTGCTTTTGGCCACGCTCCGCGCTGGCTGGCAGGGTTCCTCAGCCAAGGCCTGAAGCTTAGGGGTCATCAGGCTGGGGTCCTCCTCGCCGCGAGGGCCCCCCAGGCCCTTCATGGCTGCCCGGTAGCTCTGGTTCCGCAGATTGCGGCGCAGGGCTCCCCCGGAGCTCACGTCCACGTCCATGTCGTCCAGGGAGCTGGGTGGCGGCTGGAGCAGGGGCTCCCTGCGTGCAGCCTCCTTGCTGAGCACCGCTGCACCGAAGCTCTGGTGGCGGGCGGGGGTCTTAGTCCTGCTGGACGCGGCCAGGCCCTTGGGGATCAACTGCTGGGTGCCCATCTTCAGGGCCGCGGGGCTCTCTGTGCTCAGGATCACGGGGCCGGTCCCCGCGGCCTCTGGGGGCCCCGTCGGCGAGGAGTTGGCGGGGCCGATCCGGATGCTCAGGGTGCTCCGCACCATCGGGAGTGCGGGCACGGGGTGGCCCTTGGCGTCCAGCCGCAGCTCTGAGTGGAAGCGGTATTCGGGGAAGCCCTCCTCCAGGGGGCTGTTGGAACATTTCTGAGCCATACTGGGCGCCGGTCCTGGGGGGGGGGGGGAAGGGAGAGGCCTCAGGATGGGGCAACTGCCCTCCTCAGAGGGTAGCTCGGCTTCTGGCCGGGCTCACCCTGCTGGGGTCAGCATCTGCCGGCCCCTTTCTCCTGGCCAGCCTGCATGGGTCATAATGGTCTTCCAGGGACAGGCCTGAAGCAGGATGGGTGGGCACGAGAGCCTGAGGGGAGGTGGCGGGTGTCCCACTCTCCCACCTCCCCATCCTTGCAGCCCCACCCTCCTTAGGCAGCTTGGGTGCCTCCCGTGGACGGCACTCCCCAACAGCCCTCTCCAGAATAAGGCTGCTCTGAGCACTGGGACAAGACCTTGGGGACAGTATGTGGGGCTGCAGGGACTCAGGCCAGGGTGACAGCCACCCGAGAGTGCCCAGGCTTCCCCGTGAGGGCAGTGCCCCACACACCCTTGGCCTTCCTAGTTGGGTCCCCCATTCCCCCCTCACTACCCTGCTCCATGAAAGTTCACACCCTCCCACCAGCTGAGTTCAGAGTGGGGGAGGGGGAAGACACTTGGGGGTCTTGGGGCTCTGGAAGCTGCCCTTTAAGTCTCTCCCAAACAGTCTTCTATGAGCAAGCACTCCCTCCCGGACCCACTCTCTGGCAGCCGGGGTGGGCTAGACCCAGCAGTGGGCAGTGTTGCAGGAAGGAGGTGCCCAGCCCTTGGACAGTGACTGCCCCTTGGGGTCTGTGTCGCAGGGCCCAACCATCACACTGCTCCGTTGGTGTCTGGCCGAGCCTCCCTGCCAGCCACCCCCACGCCAAGGGCGGCCCACACATTCCGGGGATGTTCTGAGTCACCAGCCAAGGGTGACTGCAGCCATACACCCCCCCCCCCGCCGCCCGCCTCCACCAGCCGGGGGTGTCACTGGGTCCTATGTCCCCACCCCTGTCATGGTGCCAGCACACTCGGCCGGTGGCGGAGGCAGATGTTTGCCAAGTCCAGCAGAGGCTGGACCACACCCGCGGGTGGCGGGCACCAGGTTCTGGGACGACGGAATCCAGGTGTCTGCCCTGGGGCTGCTCTGCCCCACGGGTAGCCCCCAGCACCACAAAGCCCTTGATCCCTTGCTCCTGCCTTGCCTCTCCCTCTCTGCCCCCACCTGACCACCTGACACGCCCCGGCTCTTGGTCCAGGTGGATCAGGGCCCGCGGCTCAGCCCCGCCCAGCAGAGGGCAAAGTCGCTGGGGCCGGAAGGCACCAGGGAACCTGTCCGGTGAGCCACAGACCGAGACCCACAGACCAGGGACAGCAGCTGGGACGGGTGGGTGGAGTCATGGGCCAGGCCGTCCTCCCGCCTGAGTGCAGCGCAGACCAGCTGGGCCGGGCGCAGGGGTCATCAGCATGCCGTCCCCTGGCAGCCCCTCCACCTCTGACTATCCCCTGCCTGATGCCCCCACACAGGCTCACAGCTGCCTCCGATTTCTAAGCAGCACGACCCGCAACCCCCAGACGCCCCCTCCGGCGTCCCACTCCAGTCGTGTCCTCTGGGCCCACCATAGGCTAGTGGCCCTGGGTGGGGCTGGGCCGAGCTAGCAGGGCGGGGGCTGCTCCCTGCTGTGACGCTGGCTGGCCCTGAGGTGTGACTGTTTTAGGCCCTCCCTGGGGGTCCCGAAGGTCTCGCCTGTCCTCCTCCCAAATGACCATCTCTGTGCTGTCCAACGTGTCTGGTGCCGCGGCCCAGGCTGTGAATTAACAGCATAGAGACCGGGAGCCCTGCTTCTCTGACCGCTACTGCCCCGGGCCAGGGTCAGCACAGGAGCACTCGCGTGCACACACGCGCGAACACGTGTGTCACAGAACCCACGCACACAGGTAGGCACAGTGTACACATGAGCAACGTGCGCGTGGGTAAGCGCATTATGTCTGTGCGCACGCTAGACCCGTGCTATAGGTAAGCACACAGGCACAACACACAGGAACAAATACTTGCACTCATGTGAGAACAGACAGGTGAGAACACATGAATGCGTTCATGCATAGAACATAAATGCAGGAACACGTGTGTGACCAGAGGTGAGTCTGTATACATGCACACATGAGCAATGCACACACCTGGGCAAGCAAACCGGCAGGAGTATATGCATGCACACAGCAGGAAAATACAGATGTGTACACATGTGCACAACTATGAGCATGCGCGAGTCATGCATACACCTGGGTAGGCACACACATGGTCTGGCAGGCCCTGGAGAGCGGAACATGCCGCTCCCCTCCTCGGGGGCTGGTAGGGCCCTGAGCTGGCGGTGGGCTCGGCACCCACCCGCCGGTCCAGTCGGGCTTCTGGTCACTGCTGTGCTGGCCATCTCTAGTCCACAGCACCCCGTGCACCGCCCCTCATCCTGCTGAAGCCCCTGGACAGCCGAGACTGCTCCAGCGAGGGCACTTTGGTAGGTCACCACTCTGCAGCCCTCAGCTGGCTCTGCCGGGACACCGCCTGTGCCCGTGACATTCTGGCTGCCACTCACTGCTTCACACCCACGGGCAGTCCCACAACAAGGAATTCTCTGGAACAAATGTCCCTCAGGCTGGGCGGCGCCAGTCAGGGCTGCCCCGGATGGGGTGGGAGACCCTCCCGGCTGTGTTCCGTCTGGCCGCCGCCCGGCGGGAGATGCAGCGGGTGTGCCCTGTGCTGAGCGGGCACTGACCCTGCCCATCCGGCTGCCCCCTGCGCCTGTTACCCAGGTTGCCGATGGGTCCAACAGTGGAGAGAGAAAGTGACTCAAGGGTTCAGTGGCTAGCGGCAGGTGAGCAGGCCAGCTGGCCTGACCCAGACCTGCCGCTCCAGGGCCGGCCACACTGGGAGATGGGCACAGGTCACTTGGAAACCGAAAGTAACTCCGGGTGGCCGCACCCAGAGGTAGGAGCCCACCCCCGCGGAGACCCAGAGCCCCCCACAGGGTTGCTCAGGGGGAAAGGGGCACGAAGCCCTGGGACGGCCAACACAGGTGGCCCCTGCACCCCCGTTCTCCAGGGACTGCCGACACCCCCCCCCACTCCTGCCCGCCAGCCCAGGGGAGCCCTGGCGAAGGGGCTGAGACACCCCCCCCCCCGCAGACGCCCACCCGGCCCCCCAGGCAGGCCCGGAACAGCCGCCAGCCCCGGGAGCTACAGACAGGTGGAGGTGGGACAGGAGACCCCCAGGCCAGCCCTGGGCTGCGGCTCCCGGGTCCCAGGCAGGGTCTGTGCTGCCTGGATGCCGAGGGGGTACCAACCCCGCGAACTGTAAGGGGGACAGGAGGCAGGTGGACAGGTCTGCGGGACTCCGCTTTGGGGTCTGACTCCTGCTTGCTCGGGGGTCTCGCTGCCAGGAGAGCCGGGCCAGGCCTAGGGGCGGCCCCGGGCGCAGGCGGGCGCGGGATGGGGGTCTCCGGGTCCCCCGGCGGCCGGCCCCACCCGCGCTCCTCCAGCCCGGCTCACCTGTGCGCGGGGCCCGCGCGTCCCCGCCCCCCCGCGCCCCGGCTCACCTGCGCCGCGCGCGGGGCCCAGCGAGCGCCCGGGGCCAGCCGTGGACTCGGCGCCCGGCCGGCCGGCCCCTCCCCGGCCCCGCCCCGCCACTTCCTGTCCCCCGCGGGGGGGGGGGCTCGGGAGGCTCGGCCCGGGCGCCCGCACCTGGCTGGCCGGCGGCGCCACGTGACCCGGGGCCGGAGCGCGGGCCGGGCCCCGCCCCCGCGGCCGCGGGGTCCCCGCGCCCCCTCCGAGAAGCCCTCGGGCCGCCCGCGGGTCCGTCCGTCCGCGCCATGGCCGGTCCCCGCCCTAGGATTCCTGGAGCGGCCCAGCCTCGCCCCGCTCTCGCCGCCCGCACCTTGGAACGTCGGGGGGCGGGACCGCCCGAGCCTTCCGCCGACGGGGCCGACCGGGGACGGAGGCCGGCGGCTGGACCCGGGCCCGCCCGACGTGCCCGCCGCACTCACCGAGGCCTCTGCCCGCCGCGGGCCCGACGCCGCGCTGCGCGCCCCCAGCCCTGGGCCGGGCGCCACCCGCGAGTTGCAGCAGTTTTCTTTGCTTTCCTTGGTGCGTTGTTTTGAGCCACCCCCGGCCGTGCCCAGGTGTTACTCCTGGCTCAGCACTCCGGGGTCACGCCAGGTGGGGCTCAGCGGAACCATACGGCGTGCGGGGATCGAACCCCGGGCAGCGGTGTGCGGGCAAACACCTGCCCGCCGGCCTAACGCTGCGCCGTAGACAGCCACGCCCACCGGGACAGAAGTCCCGCCCTGTAGGAGGAGCCATTGTGTGGGCGGGGCCTGAATATCTCCTCCCCATGGGGAGAGCCCAGCTCTGTGGGAGGGGCCTGTCTGTCTTTCCTTTGTGGGAGGAGCCCAGCTCTGTAGGTGGGGTCTGAATGTCTCCTCCCCATGGGCGGAGCCCAGTGTGTGGGCGGAGCCTGTCCATCTTCCCTCTGATAGGAGCCCGGTCTGTGGGCGGGGCCTGAATGTCTCCTCCCATGAGTGGAGCCCAGCGTGTGGGCGGGGCCTGTCTGTCTCCTCCCCATAGGGGAGCCCAGCTCTGTGGGAGGGGCCTGTCTGTCTTCCCTTTGTGGGTGGAGCCCAACTCTGTGGGTGGGACCGTCTTCTCCCCGTGGGAGGAGCCCAGCCTGTGGGCGGGGCCACATCGCTTTTCCTGTGGGAGGAGTCACTGCTGGCCTCGCCTCTGACAACCTGGACCCTGATCTGGGTGCCACTTTGCCCCAGTGCAGGTGGCTGAGATGGTGCAGACAGTGGCTACTGTGGCTTCCCGGGCAGCGAGCTCTTCGCCTCCTCCAGGAGGAGGACCTGTTCTTCCGGCTCGGCTCCGGCTCCGGGTGTGTTCAGGGGCCTGGGGAGGAGACACGTGGGCGGGCGTGTTTCCCAGCCTCGTTTGTTTATTTTTTAGAATGTGGGCGCGACCCTGTAATTGAATGAGGGGTCTTGACAGATCTGGAACCGGTAAAAAAGCTTACAGGAACTCACTCCAGACTTGGCTGCCTTGGACCTGAAGACTCCAGCCCTTAGCTCCTCCCGCGCTAGCAGCAACCCCAGGAGCCCCAGAAGGCCCCGAGCTCAGGACACGCAGGGTGTGTGCTCTGGTGGAGGTATTTTCACTGGGCACGCAGAGTAAAAGTGTATTTCCGAACGACTACATTTTTATCCCTCAGTCCTCAACACATAGGTATCAAATTAGCATAATTTTGGATCAAAGTGCTAAAACGTTTGATGTTTAGTAATTGCTGTTATCTCTTCATATTTGTTTTTGGGCCACACCCAGCCTTGCTTAGGGCTCAGGGATCACAGAGCCAGGGATGGACCCAGGCCAGCTGCAGGCAGGGCAGGCCTCTTCCTGCACTTTCTCCCACACAGCCCTCTTCCACAGAAGCCAGCGAAGGCCTTCACCCATCTCCCTCCATCACCATCGTCTGTGAAGGCAAACGCCAGTGGGGGGTTGTATGTTCATTGTGGGGTGACGGCTGTGGCTGATCAGTGTTGGGGTGATCAGTGCTCCAGCGGTGCTGGGGACCAAACCTGAGCTCTCATCCGCTTCGCTGGCACTTTAGCCCTTGGGCGTCTCCCAGGCTGTGAGTGGTCCATTTATTTATTGACTTACTTATTTCTGATTTGGGGGCACACCCTGCGATGCTCAGGAGTTCCTCCTGGCTCTGTGCTCAGAGGAACCTATGGGATACCAGGGGTGGAACCAGGGTCAGCTGCGTGCAAGGCAGGCATCCTCCCCGCTCTTCTCTTGCTCCCACCTTTTGCACAAACATATGCACTTTTTGTAAGCAAGAGCTAGTATGCATCTGATGCAACTTATTTAATTGCAGAACATCTAGAAAGCCCCTGAGTGATAGTAGATCCCCTTAGTCTCTATTAAAATGTCAGAAAGAGTTCATGGGAACAGAAATTCACAGAAGTCTTTTATCAAATGATACTGTTTCCAAGGAACTGCTGGACTTGGTAACTGGCCTGGCAGCGCTTCCGGCCAGGAGTAAGGGCAGCCAAGCTTTGCGATTCAATGAAACAACAGCATTTCTGACACACAGCGGGGACTTTAGGCAACATGTTTGGGACGGGGGCGGGGTGACGCATCCTTGAGGAGTGAGAGATGCGTAACATGGAGCCGACGAATGCTTCCCCAGGTAAACTGGAGCAAAACTGGTGTGAGGGCCGGGAGACAGTGCTGGAGCACGCCAGGCGAGACACCATGGGCTGGAGTTGGATTTGCAGGAAAAGTTGACGCCAGGCTGGAGAGACAGAACAGCAGGGAGGGGCCTTTCCTGTAAGTAGCGGGCCTGGGTCCATCTCCAGCATCCTCCAGGGGGTCCCAGTCCACCCGGAGTGACCCTGAGCACAGAGTCAGGAGTAAGCCCTGAGCACCATGGGTGTGGCCCAAAAGCAAAACCCAAAGCAGTCAGAGCTGGAGGCTGCAAGCAGAGCCCCTGCGCCCCCGCTGCGTCCTCGGGGAGCCCCAGATATCCCAGAATTGGGCATTGTGCTTCATGATACTTCCAGAACGAGGCACTGTCGATGCTTTGTTCCTGCTCACAGAGGCGGTGACCCGCGGGGCACAGACTCCCAGCCCGCGCAGGGAGATGGGGAAGCGGAAAGATGAAGTCATAGTTTTTGACTGAGCAGAAACCCAATTTTGTTGATTTTCCTCCAGTGACATAGGACTGTGTTATTTGTTGGGTCTTTTTTTTTTTTTAAGTCCAGTTATTTAAATCTGTTGCTTCAAGGAAAAAATTGTAGTGTGTTTATGTTAAAAGATTCAATCAGAAGCTTTTCTGAAAACAGTTAACAAGGCTGAAGAGGGCGGGAAACACTCTTAGGCTCCAGACGAACTTGCAGAGGAGATACTTCCCAGAGAGCTGCTGTGAGAATCTAAGGAATGGTCTGGAGTGTCTGAGATGGTTTCAGAAACACCCGCCTTTAACTGTGGATTCGAAAGCCCCAGAGTCACCTTCATCACTGAAGTCACTCAGGCAGAGAGGGGCAGGAAGAATCCGCCAAGTGACCAGCGACACAGGTCCCTAGAAGCTGCCACATGAATCCTGACAGGGAATTAGGACAGGGTTCCCGATTGTTCCTGGAATGGCCCGGAACTTGCTTCCTCCTGCCACTTTGCTCCTCGTGTCTGTGTGCAGCCTGGTTCTCAGGAGTGCTGATGAGGCTTGGGGCAAAGTGCTCCCTGCTCCAGACGGCACCGATGACACAGCCTGCCGCCACAGTGCACCAGGAGCCCACGCCCACCCTCAGGCCCAGCACGGGCCAGCTCAGCCCCTGCAGGCTCTCTCCTGGGACCCTTCTGGGCCAGCACTGGGCCGCCCTAGGAGATGGGGTTGAGGTGACAGGGGACAGCAGCCAGGAAGTCAGCACAGGGTCTGGGAATGTACATCGTGTGTAAGTGCGCATGTGTGTACACATGTGTCAGCGTGTGTGCATGCGTGTGCAAGTCTGTGCATGTGTGCACATGTGTGAATATATGCATGTATCTGCACAGGTGAATGTGCACAGGGGCTGAGGATGTACATTGTGTATAAGTGCGTATGTGTGTACACGCGTGTCAGTGTGTGCGCATGCGTGTCAAAGTCTGTGCATGTGTGCACATGTGTGAATGAGTGTATCTGCACATGTGAATATGCGCATATGTGCTAATGTGTGTATGTGTGTACGTGCATGTGTGTGTGCACATGTGTGTGTGCATATGTGCATGTGTGCACACAGGTCTGCCTGTCCCTAGCAGGAGAGGCAGAGTTGGAGGGAGCCGGCTGGAGCCAGCGGTGGCTGGAAGGGAGTGGAGGGGAGGTGCATTCCTGCGGTGGGAGGTGGGGATGGGGTGGGGCGGGCGGCCTTGGTGGTGTTGCTACGCAGAGGAGTTTTGACCCGGAAACAGCAGGAGTCACTCAAGGTTCCCGCAGAGGCCCAGGGGTCTGGGCGGGCAGCAGAGGGGCGGGACAGAAGCCCCAACGGAAGCAGATGTCCAGCCTCCAGCACCCAGGAAAGTGACTACATGGCAGTTTTAGCGAGGCCTTTCTTCACTGTTCACCTGAGTCCACATTGCCAGGGTAAAGCCCCCTACACCCACCTCGCTACCTCGCTCGCACCCTGGCATGTTCCTCACAGCACCTCAGAACGCGCATAAAGTCCCCTCCAGAGGTGGCGGTGGCAAGGGCTCACTCCTGCCTCCTGCAGGTTGGCCTCTGCTGACACAGCCTCTTTCTGCCACAGGGCTGATGGGACAAGGCAGCTCTGCCCCGTCAGGGTCGGGGACCCCGGCGGACCCCAGGGACTCAGGTTCGAGGGGCTGAAGCCTCCCGCTGCCCCGTCGTACATTTGGGACTCTCCATCCACACAGCCTGCTGCCTACGGACGCAGCGGGCCGGACCCAGGCTGGCATAGATCTCAGTCTCCTGGTGCCCACGCCCGGAGGACTGGGACAGGAGCTTGCGGCCCAATGCCAGGCCGGGATGCTTCTGGCTCCACCCCAGCGTGGCATCTACTTGGATGCTGTGGTTTGGGGACATCCCTGCCGGGCTCCCCTGTGGCCTGCCAGCTTCCAGCCCA